AAGGTCGGACCAACGCGTCCTCACACTCAATTTTCCAAAAATCCTTATCACACCCCATCTTCGCTGCCTTCTCGGGGCCCTTGAGCGAACCAAAACACACCGATCGGGAAGCAGCGCAGGGCGTGAGGTTGAGCGTCACAACAAGGCATATGGCCACCTATGCACGGATACGACATGTCCCCGACACCCTGGAACACAAAATCGGGCCAGTGGACGTCTCCTTTGGGACCCATTCCGAAGGAATCTATGACGGATAGTGTACTTGGGTCACGAAGGGTTGGTATATGTGGAAGGCTCAGCCAAAAGAAGTAAGCCAAGAGGGTGGACTTGGGAGAAGCAGGGAGAGCCAAACTTGGACACAAGGCCTTCAGACACTCGGACCCTCTAGAAATGAGAGCCCCAAACTCCACCAATTGCCCCTCCCACCCGCTCACGCCCTACCCCCTGGAGGAAGTTGGGGGTAAACGACATCCTTGGCTAAACAGGAGTGGCAGGTCAAAGCCCAACAAGCCCAACAGGCCACCTCCGGGTCAGACCATAGTCTCCCAGGCCCCACTCCCCACATACCTGCAGAGGGGAGGGGTCCCAAGACAGGCGGAGCTTGTAGGACCCAACAAAAAGAAAAATGTAGAAAATGCAAGGGAAACAGGACAGGTAATAAATCGAGTCCTCGTTAGGAGAAGAAAAGAACAGCCGGATCTGCCACCTTGAAATGGCCACAGGGGACAACCCTCGATAAAAGGTTTCTACCATTGAAAATCACTTTGGTGCTATAGAAAAACATAAGGGTTGGTATACGATCACCACCGGTACAGGGGCCAGTGGTAATAGTAGCCATACTCCAAGGGACTGTATTATGAAGTAGCACTTTCATGTAGACTTGCATGTCTTCCAAGATGACATTTTGGTATGGGACACCGCCCAGTTTTTCCATGTTATTGGCCCATCTTTTTTTTTTATACAGAAGACACCCGAGGTCGTGCTTGGGGTGCTGATATGAGCAGGCACCACTAGCACTCCCGGGGAGGGTCCATCTATAGGTGGGGAGCGGCACCTGCTGGAAATTGTGTCCAGCGTCCCTGAACAGTATAGTTGATTGTGTGAACAGACATTTAACTTGAAATGAGAGCAAGCTGCAGGGCCTTCCTACAGAAGAGAGAACTTGACAGGTCGGCCTACACTGCAGCCTGACAAGGTTGCCTGCATGCCATCATAATGGAAGTGATAGCATCCACAAGACCCATAGCTTTTTTTTTTTTTTTCAAACCTTACCAGTGTTAGTGTTGCTGATAAGAGCAGACACGACTAACACCTGGGTAGAGACTCCATCTATTGGTGGGGAGCGTCACCTGCTGGAAACCGGGTCCAGCGTCCCATTTACATAGCCTTTGTCTCTTTATAAAGATATGTGAAGATAAAGATTGCCTCTTCAGCCAAACCAGGCCGCCAGATACAACTATTAAATCTAGCAGAAAAATATCTCCTGGAAACAGTCTAACGAACAGCCCGACAATGGAGACAAGCTTTCCCTGAGATTGCATCAGAATGCTAGAAACCTCAGAGATCCAAAAAATGTTGCGTTCATACTTCATTGAGGATACCATTGCGAATCCACCATTGCTAATTCCGACGGGGGGAAAGGGTCAGGAAAACATTCCGGAGATCTGAGTGTGGCTCCTGGAGGAAGGGAAAACCAGTCTTTGAAGCTCAGGAGGAAGTCTCGCTTTAGATTTCCCCCCTGTTCTTCCTTCCCCGGCCATTTCACTTCTCCCAAGCACCCTCCTTCATTTCCTCCCAACCAATCTTGATTGAATTTTTGAATACATTTGATTATATCTTTTTTTTCATGAAGCTGTTGTATCTTCGATCACACTACTGACCAGTGTGCTCGTATTTCTGTCTGTACAAATTGAATAATTTGTTCAGCAAATTCCATGCCTTCCAGTTTTACATCTTCTCTTTCATAAATACACCTCTTGTACCATAATGCCCATAGAACGGCTTTTCGACCAAGTTCGAACAAATTCCTCTGAAATTCTGAACGTTGCATATCCTGTGGTTCCCATTGACCCAGTAGGATGACTTTCCAATCCCATGGCCAGTCGATTCCTGTCAGTGCTCTCCACACACAGTGCCATCTTTCTAATAATAACACCGTTCCAGGACATTAGATGAATACATGCTCAACCGTTTCTCTGATTCTCTTGTTGGGGAAGACAGATAGACATGCTTTACTGGGAGATCTGAATATAGATACTAAGATGTGATCTCCTTCTCCCTGTTCTCCCAGCAAGTAACCCCCTGCTGTCTCAGTCTTGGAGGCTGGCGCGATCTCTTTCTGATCGAATCCCAGCTCATGTAGGCCAGCACACCTTGGTGTAAAGAATGAACATGAGAACAAGGAGAGTACGTGGGAGGTCGCGAAAGAGGGGGGGAGGAGGGAGGGGAGTAGGGAATAGGGAGAAAAAGGTGGTTAGGTGAGAAGGGTAGTACTAGTCATTGAGGTGAAAGAGGGGGGGGGGGGGGGGGGGGGGGGGGGGGGGGGGGGGGGGGGGTGGGGAGTTCGGGATGTGGAGGTTGGCGTCGAAAGTTAGTTTAAGGAGAGTCAGGAAGAGGGGTAGAGTCATGTCACCTTTTCTTCTTGTAATAGCAGTCCTTCAGAACCCATAGACTCTCCATGAAGGGGGGTGAAAAAGCAGTCGGATGGTCGTGATGGACGCTGGTCCTCACCATTTTGTGCCCAAGTTTTCCATACCAGTGTCCCTGTTGGTTGCAGAAAAGCCATTTTGTGTCAGGGATCGAGTCATGTATCTTTAAACGTATTGATTGCTTGCTGCCTGGTGTCTTCATTTGTTGCATTCTTGAGTTCTTCTCTAAGTCTCTTATGTGCCTTTTTTTTGCTATGTTCATCCTAATCGGGTCCAATATTTCAGCCTTGGCTTGTGGGAAAGCAAAGGTCTATTCTTGAAGTTTAGCCGAACATGGCATCCTCCAAATAACCGTAAGGATGGCCAACCGAGATACTATGTTTAAAAAGGTTGCGTTCGAAGGTTGACCACTCTGGGTAGTCCAGAGGTCTTCCCAGCAAAATTAGACGAATTCAAAATTTTCCATCGGAAAACCTGACCTGAAAGGTGGTTCCATGGAGCATCCCACCAACTCCAGATCTGGAGGGCCATTGGGGAGGGGACATGGTGCGAAAGGCCCACATAGTGAGCAAATTGGCGATAATCTCTGCTGTAAGTTTGAATGCAAATGTTCGATGGGAGGGGGAAGGGGAAAGAGAGGGGGGAGGAGGAAATTGTGGGACAAAATGGCAGGAACTACCATCTTCTTTTTCAGGAATGGACAAATGTCCACCAGGACATCCCATGGCGCCCTGCTACGGACTTCCCCGACCTTTTCCCACCACCAGCCTTAGCCATGGTAGGGGAGCAGTGGTACGGAGGAGGGGATCCCTAGTAGGAGGAAGCAGCAAGACACAGGCTTTTGATCTGCAAGACTCTGAATGTATATTCAGACTGTTATGATGAGGGATTGGGCAAGAGAGCAACGGTACAGAAAAGGGATCCCTAGTAGGCGGAAGTTGCAAGACAAAGGCTTTTAATATGCAAAAAAAGATCATGTACTCGGGAGCTAGTAGGCGGAGGGAGGAATTAGCAGGTAGCAGCAAGATCTGGCGCCGGGTTCAGGGTGAAGAGATTCCTCCCCTTTCCTCCTTCCTGCTCAGTCAATCCCCTGGAATCCAGGGTAATCAACGCTGACAGGCATCTCCAACATTTGTTCTGATTGTTTTTCTGATATGGCTCAAACTCATTTTGTAAAAAGGACGCTGGACCCGTTTTCCAGCAGGTGATGCTCCCCACCAATAGATGGAGCCTCTCCCCAGGTGCTAGTGGTGGCTGCTCTTATCAGCACCACTAACACTGGCAGGAGTGTTGTAAAAAAAAAAAAAAAAAAAAAAAAAAAAAAAGTTTGAATGGGATGTCAGCCACTCTGGAGTTGGCAGGCATTGTTGAAGTATCTGCCATTGAAGTGCCCTATGTGACGTAGGCATAATGCGAGCATAGGTTGACCAGGGGATGGACTGGATATCTGATTCCGAAAGGGGTGGGTCATTTTTCCATCTGCGGAGAACCTCTGGGGTGGAAGAGTGCATTGGATGCGTATGTTTGTAACTTTGTATCCCTCTTTGATGGTATATTTCCATATTGGGAGTGGTTTTCTACCTGGCCATTCCCATTTATTTGGGTCAAAGGGGAGTGCACAGATGGGGAGGAGCATCTCTCTTCCATGTTTCCAACCATGCTCCTCGTGGTGATACTATGCATGACATGTTGGCAGTCCAGATCCTCATTTCTGTTGAGGCTCGTCCATCTTGCCCTTAGGCACTCCGGTCCATAGGCTATTAGGTCCGCTTCATTGTTTGTAATTCCCTGAACGTTGTAGATAACCACAGGATAGACTGGAGCATTTGTACCCCCCCCCAAAAAAAACCACAGGAATCTTCATGGGCAATTGTCTGGTTGTCTTTCTTTCCCTTTTTTATTGGACAATCGTTTGATACAATTCTTCATGGGCAATTGCCTGGTTGTCCTTTTTTCCCTTTTTTATTGTTGTTGTTGGGGTGCTGCAACGCTCAACTAACCAACTTCATCCCCCTCTCCCGTACTCATCCGATTCCACTGGAAGTTGAACGCAGGTCAGTTATTTCAAAAGTTCAGGGGGGGGGGGAGTGGGCGCATGGGGAGGGGCGGGGGGGAGAGAGGGAAGCTCCAATCTATTCGTGGGGAGCTGCAGCACGTGATGGTGATTGCCTGATCGTCCCGTAATGAGAGAAGAGACATCATGCAACCAAATACCCAAAATAGCATCTCTCCATTCAGTTAATAGCATTCAAATGACAATGTAAGACTACCACATGAAATATCAGTTCAAAGATTCTCTCTCTTGGGTACGTGGATAATATGACGATGCACTGCTTTCATGGGTGTCGGCAGGTACTTGTAGGCCCAGATGACTGGAAGGCATATGAGAGTGGCAAGGAGGGATCTGAGCGGTACCGAGTCCAAAACTTGCCTACAGAATACTTTGGCGCGGGCCAGGTTGAACTGGGATTGACCAAGGACTATTCCAAACCCCATGGCAAGAACATTGTATCATCCAAGTTGCCAAGCCCCAAGAGGTCCATACTGGGAGAGCATGTATCACTTGCCTTCAGGGCGTCCGCTGAGAATGTCCGAAATGCTTTGCAGCGATTCGGCCGAGTTGGACTGGACTCCAAACGTTCGGAGTGGAAAAGAGAACCCCTTGCAAAACTGTTCCTGAATGCCTTTTCAAAGGGATATACTGTGGTGTTTCGCTGGGCGCCCCTGATCGCACATCGCACACAGGACTGTGAGCCTTGCGCCTCCTCTTCTGGTGGATCAGCAGAGCTGCTTGCTGAATTATCGCCGTCATCGCCATCATCACCGTCGTCGCCATCATCACCGTCATCACCACCATCGTCGTCATCATCATACTCACCGTCATCTCCGCATCCACCTTCACCGTTGTCTTATGCCGCTAGCAGTAGTCGTGGGAGAAACACAGGCAAGGCAAAGCTGCATCCAGAAAAGGAACCAGTACGATTCCGGGAAAGCAGCAGGGAAGACAAGGGCTCACCAGTTCGCCAAAATGACGGGATCAGACTGGCGGAACCAGAATGGGAAGCCAGAGATATTGGTAATGCTCACGGACAACACGAGAACCACTGGACCACCCCTTCAACTACACAAAATGGGACAAAACAAAGGAGGGCCAGACAACTTAGTCATGATCAGGAAGGCCATGAAGATCAGGAAAACACCCCTTCACCTACACAAAGACGGGCAAAGTATGTGCACAGTTCGCTACATAATCGCCCCCCAAAACTTGTTGTGCCTATGGCAAGTGCTCAGTCCGTGAGAGAAGTCCAGAGGCAGCAGGACAAGCTTGAGCACTACCCGTCCGGACTTGGTGACCGCATTCAAGTTCCTGTGCTGTATGGTACGTTATCCTTGAGCAGCAAGAATTGGTGCCATAAGAATAAACATCTACTTTTGCTTATGATGTTTGCTGACCAAATAAATGGCCAGTACACGGCCCCGGGCAACTTCAAAAGTTTCATGACTCACCCCTGAAATTCCAGAGGCTCGTGGGTGGTGCCAGGCCAAACATTAAAAAATTATGCCGCTGGCGGCTCGGCAAAGCTTGGTCCGCACTGCAAGTCCGCTAGGCTCAGGTGTACTGGTGGTTTAATCACCAGTGCACATCAAATGCTATGCCATGCTACCCAAGGCTATGATGTGCTATTTAGATGCTATCAAATGGTGTCCATCCATTGAAAACTCCATCCAATGCTCTCCATCACTCTCCAACGCTACCCAAATGCTATCCAAACACTTCGCAATTCTATCCAACTCCATCAAATGCTATTCAATGCATCCAACACAATCAGAATGCTATGCGATGGTACCTAATGCTATTCAACGATAATGAATTCTATTTAAACCACCAGTACATGGGCCCAGGCAATTTGAGAAAACAAGAGAGCCTCGCCGGAACGTTTGGAAGCTCGGGGCAACCGGACCAAAATGGCTGATGGTGCCGGCCAGACCGAAAACAAAATGTCTTGCTGGCGTTTCGGCAAACCTTGACGAGCAGGGGGAAGCCACGAGCCGTGGATGTCCTGGTAGTTGAAGTCTGTAACAAACCCAACTTCAGAAGCTCACTGCATAAGCAAATCCAAATCTCACATGAGCTTTCCAAGCTCAACTCCATGTTATTGGTGTACTGGCGAGGTGGTGAAGGGATCAGATTGTGAGAGTGGAGGAGGAGATTGTGGAAGGGAAACTTACCTGGTCCTACCTGTTGGTGATGTGGTCACACTGTTGATGTTCTTCACATTGACAGAGGAAGGGTGGCACCAACCTCCATAACCAGGTGGAGGGGAGGTTGGGCTCCCTGCCTGATGCTGCACAGAGACTTCATCAGCCACGTGTCAGATTGAGAGCCTTGCTGAGGTGGCGCTGAGGGAGATTCCCGAAGGAGGAGAGGCAGAGCAGAATACTGTATTATTGACTATTACTGTAACTCTCTTCTCCCTCCTCTTTGTCTATTCTCCCATCTTGCTACTCTCTCATTGATAGTTCGCTGGCTCCAGACATTGCAATATAGTTGACACTGGGGCTATTTGATATGCGCTGGTTCGAGACATTCGTAATGACCTGCAAAATCACAGAGTGAGAACTGTGATGATTTCTGAGTTTTCCTGCTGGATTGCGTGTCTGCTGAGATTCCCGCTTTTGCTGGGATTTCCAAGTCTGTGTGTGAGCGCGTTTGCTGGTTTCCGTGAGTTTGTCGGGTTGCCTGAGTGCTTGAGTGTGTGTGTGAACCGCCAGGGTACTTGTGTGTTTGTGTGGCCCTTGGGCCTGGTACTTACCAGTGGCTGTGACGTTAAGGGATTGCAGTGGGGAAAAACACTCAAGTAGCGGGGCAAGTAGGCCCACGTAGCTTAGGGCCACTCAAGTAGCGGGTAGGGTAGGCAGGTAGCACTCAAGTAGCGGTAGGCCTAGCGGAAGAAGACAAAAGTTGGGATTTTTTTAGGCTGAGCAACCAGTAGGCCTAAGTATGTGGGTACCAGTCCAAGTAGCCACTGAGTCTAGGGCCTGTGGGGACTACATCAGAACCTGCAATAATGTTTCCCTCCGAAAGGGAGGCGGTAACCAGTTGCTTGGAGGCCGAGCGGCCTGGAAGTCACCAGCCGTGAGGCTGGTTGGCCGCTATATCTCCAGGAGGAGCAAGTACCTCCTCCTCATTTGTGGTATGCAAGTTTGGGCGTCATGCTTCCTGAGAGGGTGTTGGTTCTCAGAGCACTGCTGGGGAGGAAGAAGGAGAGCTGGGTTCTGGGCCTGGCTATGGCGAGCAGCCCAGCTTGAGGAGGAGGAAGAAGGGGGTGTAGTAGGAGAGTGGTGAGGTACGTACCGGCTATCGTGGACGTCATCTTCATCTCCTTGGTAGGTGCTGCACCTGCAAGGCCCCGGAAGGGGTTGGGCTGCATCCAGAACACATCAGGGCAGAGTCAGGCATGGCGGCCTGAGTGTAGAGGACATAGCTGCTTTTGCATTCTCTTTTGAACATTGGGGCAAGGCCCCTAGTAGTTCTCCATAGCCATCACCTACTGTATGAGGGTGGAGGTGAAGGTTATGGCTATGGTGGACCTTCATTGTGCTGGCAGTAAGACGGAACTTCGGATATTGGTTCTGGGTCAACCATTCAGTGTTATTAGTATTATTGGGTGAAGAATAAGATGGAGGTGAAGGTCATTGCTATGGCGGACCTTCATTGTGCTGGCAGTAAGAGGGAACTTCGGATATTGGTTCTGGGTCAACCATTCATTGTTAGTATTATTATTGGGCGAAGAATAAGATTGGCAGGGATAAAGGGAGGAGGAGATTGGAATGAGAAAGGGGGGATTTATCATTGGTATTGTCGCATACATCTTCTTCTTCTTCTTTCTTTCTTCTTTTTTGGTCTTTGTCTCTTTGCAAGTGCTTTCATTTCTTTTGCAGTTAAGTGGCATTGTCTTTCCTTGTGAATTTGCACTTCGGAAGTAGCCAGGATCATAACAATTGGTATCAGAGCGGACTTACTTGCTGGCGAGAGGTGTTTGGTCACCCTAATCCTAATTGCGAGTTAGTTAGGGTTAGCTAACCTCGGATTAGGGTTGGGGGTTAGGTTAAGAGGGGCAGCGAAGAATTGTGGGAGCTGCCCCCACCTGGCTAGGTTATGTAGGGTCGACAAATGACCCAACCAGGTTGCATGTGTGAATGGTTGGGGTGGCCAGACACAAAGGAGGCTGGCTGGAGTGAGCAAGAGAAAGCAGAGAGTGAGAGGCACTCGCACCTGGAATCTGGACCTTAAGAGGACATGGAGCAACTTTTGGGCTTCCTGCCAAGAGGGACAATGGAATGGAAGCTGCCATATCTGCATCGAAGAGCTGCAAGTTGCTACTTCGGTTTTCAACATCAACAGGGGATCCGGCGTTGTAATTTGATGTAGGTAGGCCCTCCTAGAATTGATACGACACTTCGTGCAGTGGTAGCTAAGAATCAGGAGGACCTACGAGCGAGGGGGGTGAGTAATTATTTCGTCTTTAGAGGCCTGGCCTCACAGGTAAGAGCCGTGTGACTTGGGATTGCCCACAGTTGGTTGCATGGTGCTGTATGGCCTGTTGGGGATTGTGCTCGGCTATTTTCCTCTTCTCGGCGGTCTTGGTTGTGTGTGTGAGTGCGTGGACTGATTTCTCACCTGATGGATGGATGATGTATCTTGCTCTTAACGGCCTATCTTTCTACAGTGTATTGTCTTTTCATTTCTGAACGGCTGTAGTTAGTAGGTTCCTGCTGAAGTTGTCAAAACAACAGTGGACGCGGCATGTTTTGAAGCCATAAAGGCAAAAAAAACTTGCGCCGGCAGAGAAACCACGCGCCAACTCGAACTGAGCGATTTTGGTCCAAAAGTATCCGTTGGGCCTTTTTTTTTTTTTTTTTTTTTTCCCTCTGACACCACGGSCGACCCCTGTAAATATGACACTCGGTCTGACATCACGGCAGTCGGTACTTCCGTTGCCTTTTTGAACTCGGTGCGGTTTTCATTGCCAACGCATGTTTTTTTTGCCCATTCGATACTGAAAGATGATATGAACGTACTTACCCCTTTTCTTTTCTTTTTTGGTGAACAACCCGTGCGAGTGCTAGGGGTGCTGATAAGAGAGCAAGCACCACTAGCACTGCCGGGGAGGCTCCATCTATTGGTTGGGAGCAGCACCCGCTGGAAATCGGGTACAGCGTTCCTGAACAATTTAGTTGTGTGTGTGAACTGGCATGCAATTGTAATGTCTACAAGCTACAGGGCTCACCTACACTAAGTTGGGCAGGTAGATCTACACAGCAGCCCGGGTTATTGGTGTATTTGACAGCCTAAGAGCAGTGATAGTATACACAGATCTCCCGGGTGTTACTAGGAGGATTGGTGACCTTTTCTATGTTGTGTTCTGCTACACCCCATCCATCCAGCTAATAGACTGTTGTTGTCGAAGTCGTGTGTTTGAATCGTTTTCAGTACGGTAGGGGCTGTTTGGGACCGACTTGGAACACCTTTCAGGTTGGTCCTGGTCCACAACCTACTTGGGACCCTTTGGGACCCTTTGGGACTCAGTGGGACCAGGTCCAACTGGAAAGGACCCTTTTGTCGTGGGACCAGGTCCAACAGGAAAGGACTCTTTGTCCCAAATCTGTGGCCGCTTGCTGTAATTCTCTGCTGCGCTGGAATTGGGGGACACACGGCTAGTGGGAACATTCCTTTTGAGGGGGTCTTTTTTTCTCTGGTTTTTCTTTTTTCTATGGACCAGATATTACACTGATGAGAACATGGCTGCTAGTGGGACGTGGTACACATGGGGCGGCGCAGCGCGGCCGGGAGCGCTGCGCCGCCCATACTCGGATTTCGGCCTGCAGGAACGCTGCGGTGCAAGGCGGGAGCTGATGATGCGGACGGCGCGAGGAGTAAACCTTGGGTTGACGGGACTTCTGTCTCGTAATCGGGGTTGGGACGCAGGATATTCAGAGGTAGTGCAGCGGGGAGAAGCATGGTGAATGGACAGCGGAGCCTGCTATTGTTGGGTGACTTCTGTGGGGCCACGTGTATTTCATCAGCAGGGTATGACCAATCCGGCAGCAGTGATGCTCATTGATACGAGGGACGATCAGCGGTGGTAGGAAGAGTCTCCCCCCTTCTTCGACAGCAGGGAAAGTACGAATTTACGTGTTTTTTTTTGGAGATTTCGAACCCCCTGTGGTGACTCGCCAACAGGTTTGGTGAGGAGGTGCCACACCGTTTTTTATTCTTTTCAGAGATCGAAGATGGTCGTTGACGGTTTTCGGTGTTAGCAGTGCCCAGAGCCTTAGTAGCTAGCAGTGGGAGGAACGGTTCTTCCTTCTCCGAAG